GAGTGGAGAGACGATGGTGGAGGCGAGACTGAGGTCTGTTCTGGTATCCAGGCAACAGCTCCCCGACTCCTTCCTGACCACGACTGATTCTCAGCTTATTCCCATAACCCCGTCCCTCCATTCACTGCGCCCCTCCTTCATTCATCCCTCCATCAGCCCCCACCCCACCCAAACCCAGCCAGCCAGCTTACTGCACTAGCCACCACCAGCACTAATGGACATGCCATTTAAATGACAGACCAGTATTAATGTCTTTGCTCTGCTGTGATGCTAAGCAACTAGAAATGCAGTCATGTTGCTTATTTCTGGAAGTGTAATAACTAATAATACTGGGTGAGACGTAGCGGTGTGGCTATAGAGATCTCTAGGAGATGATGGTACATTACAAATATGAAGAATAACTTTGAAGGGTTTGCATGTTTTAGCCCATTAATTAAAACTCATTAAAGGTTATTTATTACTTCTAGATTACCTTTAAATGTTCTGTGTCAGAACTTGTTCAGAAAGTGCATCAACTCTTTTTTTAAAAAAGTCTAAAACCAACTCAAGGGAGCAAAAAACGCAGACGGATCTCCAGTTTCCATTAAGTTTTTATAATGTTTGTATAATTATATGAAATGGAAACACAACCACTTATTAAAACTATTCTTTTTTTTGTCTGTTAAGCGCCAGGACTAGCTAGAAGATTCAAACCAGAAACAAAAATGACTATAACAATCTCATTTTAGTAGTTTCTTGTGTTATGTTTGGGTCGCTGTTGGTCGCTCACCCACAAGTCTCAGATGTTGGAGCTTCTTACAGTCACTTGAACACATCAACATGTTTCTGTTTGATTAATCTGCAGTTTAATTCGTTTGTCCACAACCCAAAGATATTCAGTTTCCTTTTATAGAGGAGGAAAGAAACCAGAAACTTTTCACAGTTGAGAAGCTGCAATAACAAAACTCAAACCTCTTCACCGACTATCAAAATACTTGCTGCTGATTGTAATAGTTGACCACGAATTGATTAATTCTTGCAGCTCTACCAAGAATGAAGTAAATAAATCAGTTTAATTTATGTGTTAAAAGCTTTAAAACTTCCAATAATGAGAAACTAGTCATCAACACAGATCTGTCTGTAAAAGAAAACAATCGCTCTTCATTTTAAAGACGTTTCTGTAGCTGCAGTCAGTCTGGGCTAAAACATGGTAAACCCTCCAGTCAGATGTTCTGCAGTAACCAGACAGTGTTTCTTCCACAGTTCCCCGGCGTGAGTCAACGGGTAACGACACGATAGAGCCGCTGTAGAGATAGTGTGCTGTGTAGGCCGAGGCTCAGACCAGTGCTGTGTTAGCAGATATCTACCAGGCTTGTGCTTTTGCAGTTGCATGGATTCCACAGTCACATCTTGATTCCTTGTTACTCACTTGACGTAGGTAAAGCTCAGTCTGCCTCTCGCGCACCTTAAACAGATTTTCTTTGAATCTGGCGAGGTGTGAGAGAAGTGGGCACGAGGAAACAAGCTGCGACTCCAGGTCCGGTGTGTCATCGATGGGTATTGAAACCATGTTGGTGTTGTGTGTTTCTGTGTCCAACCCCCTCCATAGTGTCCAAGTGTTTCTGTGTTTGAGACCCTGCAGTAGTGAGTGTGTTGCAGACGTAGCACTGTACGAGCTGAGCATGCCTGCCTCTGGTGTTCTAGTCGACAAGCCTCAGCTGACGCGCAAACTAAGCCGGCTTCTAACTGAGACGCACGTAGTTCAGTTGACTCTGCTCGTCAGGTAGGAACTTCTCCTTTCCTGTGCGGATCATGTTTCCAACCGATTATTACACCTGCACCGCTTTGCATCGCTTTTTGAATCCTCGTCGATGCAAAGCGGCAGCAGATCTAGTCGATCTCTTTACAACGAACCCTCTGAACTCCAAGAAGTTTCTGGGCGCTTTTTTTTCTCCCTTCATGCATTTACTTTACTTTTCTTCGCAATTTAATGATCTGCACCTCTATGGAAACAACACAAACATAGCTAGGAGGAGGGAGAACTCACAACTTTTAATTATTTAAACACAAAAGTTTGATTTTTTAGATTACTTATTTTGCAGTACCTGAAAAAAAACCTGTACTGAGCATGTGCATCATTTTTCCAGCTGCCCAAAGATATTACCAACACTGGAACTAAATGATGAGATAGAAATTTAACTGTTTTCATTTTAACTTCAGTTGTAGCTGAGTCACTAGAGGCCCCTCGGTTAAACTGAGGAGCACAGAGCTTTTTAGATTTAGAATTTCTAAATGAGATAAAGTGATTTTGGTGAAATCTGAGATCTGGTTCGTCTTGACGCTGGAAGCAGAGGTCAGTCATGATTGGATCGGGGAACTTTGGAACATCCGACGACTCTTTTTCTTTAGTTTTTTTAGTTTCTCGTCATATAAACGCTTTAATTCTTTTTTCTTTTTTTGGGGCTCAGAGGGTTAAACTTCCACAGTAGCAGCTCCGATGTGATTCTGTAATCGCTGTAGACAGTCTGTAAATGTTAAAGATGACAGAAAATTAAGTCCTCAGTGGCAGAAAAACATGCGATTCCTGTGGGTTAAAGGTTTCCAATTCGCACAGACCACAACATAAACAGTGACCGTTGTTTTATTAGCCTAGGGAGCAAAGCAAAGTTCAAATCTGAACGCGCCAACAAACGCTGAGTTCTCAGCCCGCATCTCATCCCGTTCTGATTCCCGGGTTGTCACTTACCTCCTGTGCTTGTGTTAACTAGCATGTGTGGCTGTGTCGCGGTTTCATTTTGCACTGGCGGACGCTGGAAACGTTTCAGCGCCATGCAAACTGAAATCCAGGTTTATGGTTGTGGTGCCGTTTGAAGCCTGTGGGGTCGCTGCTAGCCGATACTGGAGGTAGAAACATCGCATTTATAGCCTAGTTCTGTGTCGTAGACTTCATTTTGGTAACCTCATGTTACTTTTTATGGCTTTTCTAAATGTGTGCTTCCCCTTTTTCTAAACTTGAACCTTAACCACGAGGAACCGAATCCTCAGAACGGTCAAAGGCACTGACCTCTTCTAGGATTGTTCCTCGGTGTTGGCAGCCAATAAACTTTCTACATTCACTCTGTTTATGGCACATGCATGGACCACATCTTCCTCACCATCCACTACTACACTACCCATAATGCATGAGCGCTGTTGCTTCCTGCCAGAGTCGGGACAGTCGAGCAGATACTGCAACACCTGTAGAGGAGTAGACGAGAATGCCAATGAGCAGAAAAGGCAGCTCTGCAGGTGGAGAGGGATCAGGAAAACGTGGCCGCTCTGCAGAAAGTAATTCTGCTCGCGTAGACGACAGGAGACTCTGAGGAAGGACGTTCTCTCTTTTCCTTCACTCTCATTCCTCACTGTGTCCATTCTTTACTTGGGTTCTCCCTCCTTCCTTTTCTTTGCCATGTTTCTCTCTGTCCTGTTTCATGCGGTCCTACCTGTCCATCGCTCTGCCTGTCATGCAGTGACACTAACCGCTCAGAGACACCGTTTGAAACTGAAACCTCTCATTACCTGGGACTCTCTCACTGGTTCTCAGCCGCTTCCTGTCGCTGATACCTTCCGATGGTCTGCTGCAGCCAACAAATGTATTATCTGACAAGTGCTTTCACAATTTATTATTTGTTGAAACACCAGAAAAACTTCCATCAGTCTCCAGCAGCCCGAGGTGTCACCGTCACCTAACCATCGGTCCGAAACCAAAAGATAATCAGTTCACTAAAACGTGGAACCAAAAATGTTCAAGTGTCACAATCACAAAGCTCAAGTTTGGCATTTTTATTGGAAACATCTTTGAATTCAGCCAATCAGCTGTCAGAAGCGTTGAGTTAAAATGTGACTCTAAAGTTTTCTACACTAAACCCTCTGAGCCTTTTCCTGCCCTCCTTGTAGTTTTATTTTGTTGTTTATGATTATTTTTTTTAAATTTGAAGAACATGAGCATGTACAACATTTTTCCAAGTGTAAGGTGTTACTAATACTGGAAAAATGCGAGCTCTATATAGTTAAGATATTTTGGTGCCTACAATCTGAATGAGTTTCTATTCTTTCCTCGTCACTGCTCGGTGTAAACACTGCCTGCAGTTCAGACAAAAACAATCCCAGCATTTTTGGTCACATGACTGTCGCTGTCAGGACTGTGAACTTTTAATTTTTCACACAGAAGCTAGTTAGAGCAAATAGTCTATTTGTGGCAAATTTTAAAATTAAACATGCAGATTAAAGTGATTTTGAGGAAATATCCTGATTTTTAAACTTGGCTTTGGTTCATTTTTGACATTAAAACTAAAAGTTGCACGTGAGAAGTTCAAAGACGATCGGAGAGTGAGTTTATTCCCACCGGCAGGTTTCGGGGTTCAGAGGGTTAAAATATTTTTCTAAAACTTTGGATGGTCCCAACGATGGTCAGACAGCATGTTGTTCTATGTGTAAAAACTAAAAAAAGCGTAATTACAAATAATAATAAGTTGAGATTCTGAAGTGTGGGTTGAGCGGCTGAGAACCACTGATCAGTTCAGGTTCTTGCTCAGTCTTTTCCAACAGTTGAACCTGGTTTATCCAAACATGAAAACCACAGACTTCCAAACTGAGCTCAGCAGGACTCCGACCCTGCTGACGGCATCATTCCTGGAACCTCCCCCGTTAACTCGTGCATCTAAACGGCCCGTTAGACTGCACAGGTTCACGTTTGTTTGTTTTCATGTCTTCAATCTGCCTGGAAACGTCACCACACGTGTGCTGGTGTCGGTCCTCCATCCACCCAAACCCTCCTCCAATCTCGGTCCTGGGATAAACCAGGTTGAACTGTGAGCGTTTCCACGGTGACGCCTGAGCGTCCAACATGTGCGACTGTGAGGAAAGAACAACCAGAAAAACTGAAACAAAGAGTGAAGAGCCCAGGTGTTTCAGTAGCAGCAGTGTGCTCCCCGAGGTTCTGCCTTCGTCCCTCCTCACCTGTCCTCCGCTTCTCCTTTCAGGCATGTGGCGACCCGAAGGCCAAGCCCTCCTACCTGGTCGATAAGAACCTGGAGTCTGCAGTTAAATTCATCGTCAGGAAGTTTCCCGCCGTGGAGACGCGGAACAATAACGTAAGTTCGCCTGCATGTCCGTCGGCTGCGTGTTTTTTCTGTTGTGCACAGAGAATGAAAGAGCGTCTGTTTGGTTCGTCTTCAGGCGCGTTTTTATTTTTCTGACATTTAGAAAGTTGTCGGCCGTTGGGTTCTGCAGCTACATGGCGGGACTGATCCGGAAAACGTTTTAGCAAACGTGGTTCTGGATCATAATGTTCTGAACCATCAGATCACATCATCTAACCGATGTCTGTCGTAATAAAGAATAATCTACATTACAGTTTACATATTTACTAGTTAGCCACACAATTCTGTTTACAAATGTTATCTGAGAGCAGAAACTGTAAACATCACAGCCGCTGTCCATCAGTAATGTATTTGTAATTATAGCCTCATAATTATATAAGTTTTAGAATTATTGTTATTATTTTTATTATTATAAGTGACATAATGATAAAGTTTTCTTTATATGTTAGTATAATTATATCCTCTGTATCATAAGTACTGTATATTAATATATGCATATTACATGTTTATAATATTGCTAAAGAAATAAAATTCATATAAAACTCTCTAAACAACGTGTACTCAGTCGGGATAACTGCAGCAATAAATCTGTGTGCAAGTTTAGGGCTACAGCTGGTTGATTCCATTGTCTAATAACGTATTGATTATTTTCCAGATTAATGAATTAGTTGTTTGATCTATAAAATGTCAGAAAACGGTGAAAATCAGTGTTTCCTGAAGCCAAAGACCTCAAACGTCTTGTTTTGTCCACAGTAGAGGACGAAAGACACCAGAAAATATTCACGTTTAAGAATCTGTAATCAGAGAATTTCTACAGTTTTTATTAAAAATGACTCAAACTGATCGATCAGTTGTTTTGGACGAATAATGTAATAAATGACAGATGAATAAATATTCAGTTTACTGTCACAGAGAAGGAAAGAAACCAGAAAACAGTCTCGTTTGAGAAGCTGCTTGTTTTTATGAAATATAACTAAAGTACTCCGTCGTCAAAATAGTTGATCTCAGTGACCATAACTGAAAGCTTATTGATTAATTGATTAGTTGTTCGGTCTGTAAAATGTCAGAAACGTGTGAAAAATGTTCATCAGTGTTTCCAAAAGCCACAAATATTCACATTTAAGAAGCCGCAACACATTTATTAAATATACTTGAACTAATTAACCAGTCATTGACAGCCACAGGATTAATCGCTGCAGCTATAACTATTATTTCAGCAATAATAATAATAATAATAATAATAATAATAACAATATTGCTCAGTCTTTATAGAAAAAGTCCAAAAACAAACCCAGCGTTGGAAAAGGAAGTGAAAACATTTTAAAGAGAAACAGGAGTTTAGAGGACGTTCAAGGGACGAAAAGAAGTCCAGAACAATAATCCTAAATCTTTCTAAAGAGGCTTAAATCACTTGATTGTCAACATTACTTGTGTTTGTTTTGCATTTTTCAAAAATGAATCCAGTTTACACCCATAAACAATCGATTAAATCGTTTAAACTGGACTCACTTCACCGACAGATCAAACGATAAACAGGATTCGTTTGTTTTGACGTCGACGCTCAGCCGCTGCTCTGTCTGGCTGGTTTAAGAGAAAACCTACAATGAAGGGAGTTGTTTGTTTGTTTGTTTGTGTTTGTTTGTTTGTTTTGAATGAACTAAACAAAGTCATTGCTCATCAAATGTTTCTTTCAGCTTTACTCGTTAGCTTAGCTTCTGGCCTCCGTGTTTATGTGAAAGTGTCATTTAGCAAACAGCTGTGAGCGCGCGTGTGTGTGTGTGTGCGTGTGTGTATGGTTGTGTGTGTGTGTGAGCGTGTGTGTGTGTGTCAGCGTGTGTGATTGTGTGTGTGTAGCGTGTGTGTGTGTGTGTGTGTGTGTAGCTAACTGCTTTATTCAGTATAACTGTGCAGAAATTGTCTCTTACGTTGTTTTCTGCTTTGTTTCTGTGTTTGTTTGTTTGTGTTCTGCATGCTAAAACTTGGCTTATTCCGGACTTGTGCTTTTTGGTAAGTTTTTGTATCTAAGTTTCTGTAACTTTTCGTATTTTAGTTCACGACCCTGAGTTTTGTAGTGATGTAGTTTTTTTTGTACCTGTTGTTTTTGATTTGAAGCTGTTTTGGGGTGTTTTTGCTTTGCTCTGCTTTCTCTCCTCTTTGCTGGCGGCTTCTTCTTCTTCTTCTTCTTCGTCTCTTTGTTTTTTAGTTTCTCTCCTTCATCCACTGAATGACTGTGTGGCTGGTTAACTAGCTGGTTTCTACCTGGTTAGAGCTTCATGACCGACCTGAATGAGCTGCCTGCCTGCAACAAGGAGAGCAGAAACACTAATCTGTTGTCTGTGATTGGACACACATCAGTGGGTCTTTCTAAATTTGAGCCCAACTGCATAAAACCCGTTTATCTCCCATCTAATTTTTCCACTTTTGCTCGACTTTGGGTCGATACCAGAAGCTTGAGCTCCTTGGTGCAGCAGCAGCAGCAGCAGCAGCAGAGTTTCACTTCCTTCTTCTTCCTACTTTCCTGAGACTTTTCCCTCCTCGCCTGGTAGAAGAACTCTGGTTTAAGCTGCAGCTCCGACCTCACAGTTAGATTTACATGCAGTGTTCTTCTTCTGCCATGTAAATAGAAACTGCTTCTTCTGTCGCTTCTTAGACGTCACAGCTTATTAAAAGATTGACGAGACAATCTTTTAAAGCACGTTGCATCCGACCAGATATCGGCAGAAGAAAGAAGTTTTGCCTTCGATGCTTCGACTGAATTTTTTCCTCCTCACTTCTGACTTTAACCCTCTGAACTCCAAGCAGCGGTTTCTGGGTGGTTTTGGGTTTTTTTTCCTCACTGTGGACTCATTTTTTTCACTGTAATATAAAGTCCTGCATGTTTATGGAAACAGAACAACATGAGGAGAGAACTCAGAGATATTTTCTTGCAAACATTTATTTCCAGAACAGGAAGGAAATAGAGGAAGCCCTACATTTCATAGATATTCAGCTACTCACATGTAGATTCGTTGCTATCCCTGCCTCCCTGAATTTTTCTCACGTAACTGCTTGACACAGCCGAGTCACTAAAGGCTTCACAGGTGCACCGTAGAGTACAGAATTTTTTGTGTTAAACAGACTCTATTTAATGCATACGGTTTATTTTTGGCAATTTTCTTAATGAGACATAAACAATAAAGTGATTTATCTTAAATGTTAAGCTTAGATTTGGTGATTTTTCAAGACAAAACGGCAAAAGTCAGGCACCATTAGTTCAAAGACCATCAAAAAGATGAAAGTCAAACCATTATGTTGGTTTTTTTACTGTCTCTGGGTCTGATAAAGGGTTTAGCTTTGGCCTTTCAAACCCACCGGCAGGTTTTGGGGTTCACAGGGTTAAACTCGATCCTCCTGGGCGGACTCCTCGCTTCGCCAGATTTTACTGTGGTTGAACATTTTTTTTACCCAGAAGTTCAGACATAAGCTACTTGTTGAAAGTCTTCACACCACAAACTTTAATCTTTGTTCTGTTTCCTCACAAAGTTTCAAAAGGAGAAAAATTAAACGAATGAAAGACAAAAAAAATGTAAATGGAAGAAATGTTCGACCAAAGCAAACTGACTTCACATGCATCTGGAATTTAAAGCGAGGTCTTTTTAAAGCTATTTTTACAGATAGAGTTCCAGCAGATCACTGAATTATTTAGCAACTGTATGTGATTTCTATCAGTTTGCTGTTCATTTAGTCAGAATTAAGAGAAACTTTGATTAATGCAAGGCGAGACCTGATCATCTCTGTTGATCCCTGAAGGGAAACGAAGCAATTAGAATTTTTGGAGACTTGGATGATATAAAAAATATGCAGATATTTCTCCTTGCAGTGTGTTAAAGATGTATTATGTAGGAGAAGTACTTCCAGAGCTGAGCTGAACCCAGTCAGAGTTTCTATGAGATGTTTATTTATGTGATGTCCCAGCTTCAGCTCCTAGAGACAGACCGTCATCATTAAGGGTTTCTGCTACACAGATTTAAACTGCACTCGGGGAAACACACACAGTCAGTTTAAAAACAAAGGAGCTCATGAGGAAAGATCATTTTCAGGTTCATAAAGCGCCCATAAAACTCCTGGCTGCGTTCTAAGTGTGTGTTTTGTGCCATGTGGTGTTTACAGCAACAGCTGGCTCAGCTGCAGAAGGAGAAGTCAGAGATTCTGAAGAACTTGGCTCTCTACTACTTTACCTTCGTAGATGTCATGGAATTCAAGGTGGGGAAACGCAGTCAGACTCACTGCAGTGTATTCAGAGTGATGGATGTGATGATACTAATGCAGGACTCTCCGTTGACTCCTTTATCGACAGGATCACGTCTGTGAGCTGCTCAACACCATCGACGCCTGCCAGGTCTTCTTTGATATCGTAAGCAGAGACATTTGTCCTTCATTTACGTTATAATCACTTTCCTGCTCTTTATAAGATCATCAGTCGCAGCAAGTGAAGTTTAGTTTTTGGCTTCACCGACATCTGGAAGTTGAGAAAATTTCTATCAAAGTGATTTTTAGGTTCTTTGTCCTGTTGGAAGCAGTGACGAAACGCTGCACGTTTCCTTCTCCTCTGCTTACTTTAACACACTTTTGTCATGAAGAATGCTGATTTTACAGATTATTAGTGATCAAGGAGGTGAACAGCTGATATTTGCTGTTAAAACAACACAAGCTGGGGCGCCGCTATAACTCACCTGGTTGAGCTGGCGTCCTATGTACAGGGCTACAGTCCCGATGTGGAGGTCACGAGTTCAAATCCCGCTCATGGCCCTTTCCCACATGTCCTCCCCCCATTCTTCTCCCCTACTTTCCTGTCTCTCTCTCACTTCACTACTAAATCATTCTTCACTATCAAATAAAGGCACAAAGGCCAAAAAAATAACTTTAAAAAAAAACAAAACTCAAGCTGCAACACAAAACCTCAGTGAGACTAAACCGTGTTAGCCGTAGGTCTGGCCAGTGTTGCTATTTGGTCCACTGCTGTTGAAAACAGTATTATCTGCCATTGTTGTTAGTATCAGTAGTTTTAAAATGACTTTCCTTGATATGCGACAACGCTGCAGCGCTGTAATGCCGCTCTGCAGGTATCGCAGACGAATCAGCCACTTCTCTCATTAGCACGCTGCAGCGCTGCACCGAGCTGTCCACAGATTGTCCACAAAGTAGATGCACAAAGCAAAAGATTGTTTACAGCTGACAGTCCACAGACACAGTAAAGCCTGTGTAATACAATCCCACTGTACAGATACAGTCAGCAGAGGGATTTATTCTGCGACAAGCAAACTGTTTCACCATCAGAGTTAGATAACTTTAATCTGGCTTCGTCTTCTCAGCTAACTGACCAACATCTCTATATGCAAACACAGCGTCCACTCTGGTGATTTAACTCTAAAAATCAGGTGTTCACAGTTCAGTAACCGCAGTTATAAATGACCAACTGCAGAAAGGAGGCGATTAAAATGTGCTCTAAAGTTATGCTGCACTTAACTGTGTGAGGATTTTATAAGCAGCAGCAAAGACGGAACGACGTGGTGATTTACTTTTATTTGTTTTTATAACTCACGTTTTCTTTTCACAGCCTGCATTACCACATATTGATATCGTCACAATATTTAGTTTTTCTTCTTTAATTAATAGGAAATTGACAAGTTTACGTCCAACTTTAAATTCCTTAAAGCTTGTTGTCTCAGAAACAGATCAGAAGATTGTGATGTTAATCGCAGCTTCAGTAAAATCTGCTGCTTTACCTTAAAATCGCAGCTCTGTTCTCTCATCAGAGCCTCGGTGTCCTGAAGTGTTCATGAACTGCTAATGATGCTGATGTTACCTCAGCGGCTGCATCGGGGCCAAAGGATCGTGTTAGAAAACAGATTTGTTTTATTGGGAATCGGCTAAAAAAAAAACATACTGATAATCAAAAAGTGCTAAATGTCTGGTCTGATAATCAACCAGGCCGATAAGCGCTCCACTCCTCTGTTATTATTTCAGAGTTTTGTCTCACCTGTCCAATCGTTCTACTCCTTAACATCTTAACAAACACTTAAATCCTCTGCTGGGGAGATTATCGTTGATATCTGAAAACACCGCCTCGTCTCTCTGATTCCCGCCAGACGGTGAACTTCGACCTGACCAGGAACTACCTGGACCTGGTGGTGACGTACACGACCCTGATGATCATTCTGTCTCGCATCGAGGAGAGGAAGGCCATCATCGGCCTGTACAACTACGCCCACGAGATGACGCACGGCGCCAGGTGACGGAGACCGACGAGAGAACGGCGTCGCTGCGCGTTCACGCCAACCGAAAGGAATAACGGCTGCAGCTTTTGTTGTGAACACGCAGCGTTCTCCGTTAATCTCCACAAACACTCAGCCAAGATTATTTCTGTTTGATGAGCCGTCGGTGGTTGCTATGGTAACCGTGGTTCTGTGTCGCTGCAGTGACAGGGAATACCCGAGGCTGGGCCAGATGATCGTGGATTACGAGAACCCTTTGAAGAAGATGATGGAGGAGTTCGTCCCACATGGAAAGGTACGACAAGTGACAAATCCACGACGTACAAACACAAGGCTCGGCTTCCTTTTAGTTATTTTTATATCTTCTTTTCTCTGTAAATTCTGCTCTTGTTATTAAAACACTGCCACCGTCGTACGTGTCTGCAGTCTGATCTGCTCCCAGAAGATTCTCCTGTTTTTTGTTGTTCTTTATGAAGCTCAGTTACCAAAGTGCTGCGTTTGTCTCAGCAGTTCAGGAGAAACGGTTTCTTCCTCTGCAACTCAGAGCTGAAATATCAACTTAATTAAAAGGAAATTAAAGGTTATAAACATATAACACACCCCCAAGTGAATTAGCGTCGTGTCACATGACAGAGATCTGTGTTTGGTGGTTCTGACATCCTGCATCCCAGCATGGTCCTCCAGCTGCAGTCTGTCAGACTGACAAGTCCTGCAGAGGGCAGTTAGAGGAGCTGAGACGGGCGTCGGAGTTTCCCTCCCCTCTGTCCAAGAACTTCTCCAGAGCTTCTTCAGGAGCAGGACTCTAAACATTGTCAGGGACTCCTCACACCCTCCCCATGAACTGTTTGAACCGCTACCATCAGGCAAACGTTTCTGGAGCGTTAAAGAAAGAACCTCCAGACTGATCAACAGCTTCATGCCACCAGATGTCAGAAAGCTGAACTGCTGATCCAGATATGCAAACACTTCTTTATTTAAATTGCTTTAAGTTATTGGATCCTGAAGAAACGCTCTCTCATCCTGCCTCTACTGCTGTGTATGTACAGCAACATGACAATAAGCTGGATTTGATTTTCATCTATTGCAGACCTGCAGTCTTCAGAGTTGTGAAAAATGTGACAAGATTTTTAAGTTGTTGCTGTTTTATACACAAGTAAATGCAAGTAAAGCGTTAAGGGTTGTATTACGTTACACATTTTCTTCCCTCTAAACTGAATGCACACTAAAAGCTCATAAAAACACATTAAGATGATGGAAAATTATAATTATTGTTAAACAAGACTGATATTGCTGCATTTCGGATCAATATAAACAAAACTAATCAGCCAAGTTTTGCATTAATCTACTCAGAATTTTCAGTTTTTTATCTTTGTGATGTTTGCAAATCAGGAATTCAAACTCAAAAGGCTCAAAGGTGTGTTAACTTTTAATAAGATGTGTAGAATGAAGTGATTTAGATGATTTTAAAGCTTAAATTGGTTAATTGGACTCCACATGTCATAGCTATTTTCCTGAATTGTTGTCACATGACTAGTCAGTTATGGTGTTGTGGTTTCACCGAGGGGCGCAGAATCTTTAGTTTTCTCATAGAATCTGTTTTTGTTTTCCTTTTTTTGTTAATTTTTTAAATGAGACCTTTAGAATAAAGGGATTTTGATAAAATATCTCAATGTTAAGCTCAGATTTGATGAGTAGCAGTAAGAAAGTAGTTCAAGGACTGTTTTTATTTTTTTCTGCCACAGATAAATGATGTAATTTTGGCTATTTTAATAATATATTTAAGTTAATTCGCCTTTCAAACCTGTGTCTGTTAACAGCACTTTATCTGCTCAGGTTGCCGGGAATCAAACTTGACTCACGCTGAGCTCCTGCACGCCTCCAAATACAACAAGAGCAGTACAATAAACACTAAAATAAAGGTTTAACATCATTGGAGGTTCTGATTGCTTCACAGACTGTCCTGTAGAAACATAATCTGATGCCTGGATGTGCAGTTGGTCGTTCTCTCATTCAGAAATCCGACGTCGCGCTCCGATAACGTGGTTGTTATTTGTCCCAAATGTGCCACAAGACTGAGCTGTTCTGTTCGATTTCTGTGTCTGTCCTGCAGTCGCTATCAGACGCTCTGATCAGCCTTCAGATGGTTTATCCCCGGAGGAATCTGTCTGCTGACCAGTGGAGGAACGCCCAGCTGCTGTCGCTCATCTCCGCTCCCTCCACCATGCTCAACCCCGCCCAGTCGGACACGGTCAGTACCAGGACGCCTGCAATCATTCATATATGACCCAAGGGTGCATCCTAAGCCTTTCAACGTGTTATTATTTTAGTTCTATTCAGCCTTTAAATTGAAATTTAAAATCCGTTCACCAGCTTTATGCACGGTTTTGATCATAGCGTCACCAGTAATTCAACTGGAAAAGCCTGAAACCAACCATCTGTCTGTGTTTAGATGCCGTGTGAATACCTGTCGCTGGACACGATGGAGAAGTGGATTGTCTGTAAGTGCTGCAGAAACACTGAGAGTCTAATCACCTGAACCCTGCGAGCTCCCCTTCATGTTTCTCCTCTTGTGTTCTGGCTGCAGTCGGCTTCATCTTGTGCCACGCGGTGCTGAACAGCGACGCGACGGCTCTGTCGTTGTGGAAGCTGGCGCTGCAGAGCTCCACCTGCCTCTGTCTGTTCAGGGACGAAGTCTTCCACATCCACAAGGCCGCCGAGGACCTGTTCGTGAACATCAGAGGGTACGTCGCCGTCCTTGGCTTTCAGATAGATCCGGTAGTAAATCCAGGAGTGGCAGGGAAGGAGGCGGAGGGCTTTTATTGGTCACGTTGCTGTGAAGGAACCCGTCTGCCGCCCACGTGTTGAGCTGTTAGCTGTGGAGCTACTTGATTCACATCTGAAGTAGCCTCCTTGTGCAGCCGTACTCGGCTCCCATTGCTCCTGCAACACGTGTGAGGTAGAAGTTAACATGTCAGGTACCATCTGTGATGAGCTGAATCTACTGAACTGTGTCCAAAAGCGATCCTTCTACTTGAACTTTGGGTAGAGGCAGAAGTTACACTCTGGTGAGAATGAGGTGAAACAATGATGTTAATGTCAACTGTGACGTTTATTCAGTTTCATGTATCTGTTGTCGGGTTTTGAACGATCAAAGCTGGCGTCACTTTGATGGACATGTTTCTCTGTTCTTCCAGAATTTGTTCTTTTAAAATACCTTTTCCGTCCTCGTGTGTTTTCCAGATACAACAAACGCATCAACGACATCAGGGAGTGCAAAGAACAGGCCTTGTCTCACGCGTACGTATACCGTCTTCGTCACAGAGTTTTCATCCCGTCTTTGCTTTTTTTGTTCCGCACATGTTTAAAAAAAAAACCTCAACATAAATCTCATTTTATGGTTTCTTTCACTGCCAGCGTTTTCTGTATGATTATTTTATATTCCTGTTCCCTTTTAGCTTCCCTTTTTTCAACCTGTCATGGCAGCTTTGCTCCCGCCCTCCTGCGTCTCTCTGGGAGTCTCGCGCTGAAGCATCACGCTCTTCTCCTCTTTATCCGATAGTCGTTGCTTTCACCGTTTCATCCTCGGCTCTTTGTCTCCCCCTCTGTCTCATGTCTGCTTTTATCCTCATTACTTATTCCGTCTTCCCCTTTCATCTCCGTTCTCATTCTTCTGCCGTCACTGTCATCTGCGTGCTTCTCTTCCTCTTGTGGGATTGTCCTGAAAGTGTCAAAATACCTTTTAATCACGGCGCTAGTGTGTTTTGATGCTCGGCTCTGACTCGCTGCTGCCGCTGCTGTCTGACTCTCTGCAGAGGCTCCATGCACCGAGAGAGACGCAAGTTCCTCAGATCGGCTCTGAAGGAGCTGGCGACCGTTTTAGCCGACCAGCCCGGACTGCTGGGTCCAAAGGTAACGCAGAATACCGCCTTAAATAGCCCTACTGTCAGTTTTAAAGCAGCTGCAGCTCAAAGCAAGCAACTTGAGAACAGTTTTGTCACCTTAAAACAATATACTACCACATTAAATAGCTGAATATCTTGCTCTAAGTGGTTACTATCACAATACAAATATACTGTATGAAATAACAAGAGGTCTTCATCGAACAAAACTGCCCTAAAAAAACAAAAACATCACCTTCAAGTAGCTTTTAGCTCCTCAGATTAACTCTGAAGTAGCTGGCGACCGTTTTAGCCGACCAGCCTGGACTGTTGGGTCCAAAGGTAACGCAGAATACCGCCTTAAATGACCTTACTTTTAGTTTCAAAGCGGCTGAATGAACGAAATGTCACCTTAAAAAAGATGAAATGCCACAACGAATAGCTCTTAGATAGTTATGTAGTTTATTGACTTAATATCACAATACAAATATACTAAAATAACTTTACATAATAGCATAAAAACACATCTTCCAGGTTAGTTTTTACATTATTGTGACTTAATAAATCATATGAAGCTGCCTTAGAATCTAATATATCATCTTAAATAACCTCTAGTTCCTCATTTTATCAGCCACCATGCTGCTGTTGGTTTAATTAACCAGATCTGCTCACAGAAGAGCAAAACTACGTGTAAAAGTTTAAATAAGTGAATTATTCTTTACTTATGCGACTGGATTTTGTCACGAGTCCAAGACGGAACCACAGAACGTTGTCACAGAGCAAAAACTAACAAGGTCAGCTGTCCTGCGTGGCAAAAGAGTCGACGCAAAATCCAATTAAAATTTAACTCTGCTTTGTAATTTAATGCAGCGCACAGCACGATCTTAACCCGCTGAACCCCACGCAGGTTCTGGACGTGTGATTAGTTCAAGGATCGTCTCACAGCTGAAAATCCAACAGCTTCTGGGTTTGATAAATGCTGTCATTTGGACAATGTTTTTTTGTTTATTTGTGTTGTTTTGTTTTTTTAAGACAGCATTCGTTTCAAAACCTTCAGGCAGGTTTTGGAATTTTTAGAGTTTAAATGCTGCAATACTACCTTAAAAATAGAGCAAACAGTTCCACCACCTTAAAAGCCTTGTGAGGTGCTCTGTCCAGATGGAGACTAAATGAATATTTATGAATACATATATTATTGCATATTTGGTTCAGAGACGTCCTGCTGCTCTTTTTAATTTATCCTCAAGTTTTCAAAGTTTCTTTTCATCCTCTTTAAGTCCGCCTCCCTCCATGTTTCCGTCCACCAGGCGCTGTTCGTGTTCATGGCGCTGTCGTTCGCCCGTGACGAGATCATCTGGCTGCTGCGACACGCAGACAACATCCAGAAGAAAAGCACAGATGACTTCATCGACAAGTAAGAACAGAAACACAGCAGCACGATTGTACGCATGCAGGGTTTAAGAAAAACAGCAAAGTGATGAGAATAGAGAATAAAAACAGATTTTTTTTTTTTAAATAAATGGTCAGACGTGAAGGAAAATAGGGCTGCAAGGTGGCTCGGTGGTTAGCACCGTTAGCACCTCACAGCTAGAAAGTCGCCGGTTGGCGTCCCGGTGAGGACACCCGGGATCTTTCTGCGTGGAGTCTCCATGTTCTCCCCGTGCAGCGTGGGTTCTCTCTGGGTTCTCCGGCTTCCTCCCACAGTCCACAAACATGTTGAGGTTAATTGGTGATTGTAAATTGTCCGTAGGTGTGAATGTGAGTGTGCTTGGTTGTCTGTCTCTAAGTGTAGCCCTGTGATAGACTGGTTACCTGTCCAGGTGAACCTGCCTTCACCCTGAGTCAGCTGGGATAGACTCCAGCCCCCCATGACCCTGGTGAGGATTAAGGTGTAGAGATGATGGATGGATGAAGGAAAATGCACTTATTTCTGTGTGAAGGCAGATCAGTCACACCTGTTGTTGTGAGTTGTTCCTTCTGAACCGTGAAAACCCTGATCGTCTATATTCACACGTTCACACCTTGGTTAACCTTCACGCTCTGTACTTGGCTGCTTGTGCATCTTCAGGCCACTGATGTGTGTTTGTGTGCTTTACAGACACATAGCGGAGCTGATCTTCTACATGGAGGAGCTCAGAGCTCATGTCAGGAAGTACGGCCCTGTGATGCAGCGATACTACGTCCAGTACCTGTCCGGGTTCGATGCTGTGGTGCTGAATGAGCTGGTGCAGGTAGGAGCACTATAAAACACGCTAAACACGAAACCTAATACACTCTTGCAGATGTTGAACTGTTTTTCTCCATTCAGTTATTTTTAATTTGGTACCACTTTCCTTCTAAAGCACAGTAATATTTAATTTGTGGGGCTGTAATGATTTCACCACACATGACTTCTACAGTCTTCATTTTGAATTAAAATTTCTTGTTGCCTGCATATAAACTATTTGCTGTCTTCCCTACGCAGTATTTAATCTCATTTTCCATCGTCTCTGTCAGTAAAAAGTTTTAAAGTCTCCCTTTTTGTCCTTGTTGAAAGCTGAATCAATAAGATTGTCAGGTATAATAGACATTTTCCACGCTGGTCTGTCTAACCATCTCAACTGTCTTTATTTAACAGAACCTGTCTGTGTGTCCAGAGGATGAATCTATAATCATGTCTTCATTTGTCAACACGATGACGTCCCTCAGTGTCAAACAAGGTGAGCGTCAGAGGAGGATTCGTAGTGTTGGTAATACTGCAGTAGGACTATGTAGTGACAGTACTGATGGTGGTAAAGGTCAATGTTAGGAAGATTTGAAGTTGTTGTGTTTGTGTGTTCCAGTGGAGGACGGAGAGGTGTTTGACTTCAGAGGGATGAGGCTGGACTGGTTCAGGCTACAGGTACAAATGTCATCCTCAAATTAATCTGAAATACTTTTCTAAAGGTTGGAGAAGTTGTTCCAGTGAAGCGAGGCTTCCACAGCTTCATATTAACCCTCTGAACCTCAAGCAGTTCATGGGCGTTTATTCCTATGGGGGTTTTTTTACACTTTTTTTCCTCACTGTGGATGAATTTTTTACTGCCATATAAAGTTCTGCGCCTCTTTAGAAACAGAACAACATGAAGAAGGAGGAGAACAGAAGCAGTTGCTCAAGTTTTTTTTTTTTTTTATTCCACAAAAATTTTAAAAACCCGGAATTAGCATGTACAGCAAGTGTTACCAACGCTGGGGAAAATATTGATCTACATATTTCAGATATTTTTCTGTGTGCATTCTTATTTTTTTCCCACACTGTCTGCTGTGTGTAAACTCAGCCTGAGGAATGTGGAATTTCTTGTTTTACCCAAAATCTCATTAGAACGAACTGTTTGTTTTTGGCACATTTTTAAATTATATTTTTAGAACTTTTTTTTTTTTTTTTTGAATGAAATGTCCCAATTTTTTCTGACTGCTCTTTAAGTCACACATGATGAGTTCAAGGACTGTTGGAAAGCTCAAAATCCACCGATTATTTCTGTTTTTACAGTTTCTGACTCGAATAATTGGTTAATTTTAGTGAGTTTTTAAAGATAAAGTACCTTCAAAGTGGTTCAGAGGGTTAACGTTACCAACCAGTAACTCAGTAGAAATGAACAGCGGTGAGTTTTCATCTCTTTCACGTCCTCCTCACACCTCGTTTTGTGTTTTCCTCTCTGCAGGCGTACACCAGCGTCTCTAAAGCCAGCCTCGGCATCGCCGATCACAAGGAGCTCGGAAAGATGATGAACACTATCATCTTCCACACAAAGATGGTGGACTCGCTGGTGGAGATGCTGGTGGAGACGTCGGACTTGTCCATTTTCTGGTGAGGCTAACGAGGCTGGTACGCAGGATGCGCTGAGATAGCGAGTGATTCTGACCATCTCCTGTGTTTTTTTTGCAGTTTCTACAGCCGAGCGTTTGAGAAGATGTTTCAGCAGTGCTTGGAGCTTCCATCGCAGAGCCGACACTCCATCTGCTTCCCTCTGCTCTGCACACACTTCATGTCCTGCACACACGAGCTCTGTCCCGAGGAGGTAAAAAAAAAAAACACACCTACATGTACAAACACACCATCTGGCTGAAGCCACACTCATGCAGGATTAAGTTTAGAAAGAACACTCCCTGTAATTTAACGCCTGGATCCGGACACTACAGGAAACTGCATTATGTGGTCTGTAATAGATAAGAGCCTTCAGCAGCTTAAAGCCAAAAGCCTCCCGAGAGGCTGGGATACTTTAACCTGGCATGAAGTACTTATTGATCATGTGGTATGTCTTACACTTTCCGAGGATATCGCTGTCACTGCTGTGCGATGTGAAGAGACGTCCTTAAATGCACAAATTAGAGAAACAGGATGCTTCAGAACTTGCCTGGGAATCGTTACATCTTCAGCTCTTTTTTTTAAGTTAAACTTTTCTGACCGTGCAACCCGACAAACAGCTTTTTGTTTTGCCTTTCTGTTAATTACAAACTAAACTAAACCAAATTCATACGTCATCTTCACAGGCAGTAATCAGAGTTGGTTCGTTAATCGTTTCCAAAGCAAATTAAGAATTTTGGATCTGAAAGTCAGAATCCCGAGCAGTTTGTATTTTTGCTCCGGTCACATTTTGCTCACTGTGGTTCGTTTTTCACTGCAATATAAAGTCCTGCACCTCTCTGGAAACACAACAACATGAAGAAGAGCTGCAGAATCATAAAAACATATCAAATGAAAGTTGCATTTCTTTAATTACTTATTTTACTAAGATTGAATCAACATGTACAACTTTTTCTTCAGCAGCTAAAGATGTTACCAACACTAGAAAAATCAGTGTTGGCTCCACATCCTGTAGATGTTTTACTGTTTAGGTTTTAAACTTGTTTCGATGCTCGTCTCCTCTCTGCTCTGCAGTTCAGCTGAAAAGTCCCTGAGTTTGTGTCACGTCGCTGTCGGTCAGACTGGATTCAAAAATGGCTTCACGGCTGCAGCAAGGAGCACAGAGTTTTGTTTTTTTTTTCCAAAATCTGGTTACTGAAAAAGTCTTATTTCTGGTGAATTTTTATGTAGATTAAAATGATTTTGATGAAATATTAAAATTTCAAGGTTTGGTTACTTTTCCAAACCAAACTGTGAGTCTGGTGATGATTTTCTAATTTAGGTGGTTCTGATCAAAGCTATCATGCCTTTCAGACCTGCTGGAGAAATTTAGAAAGTAAAATATTCCTACAAAAGCTGTAGCGACCTGCTGCTGCTGACAACAACCACTTCTATCAGCTTCTACAGATCTCCTGATTGTGTGTTTGTTTTTGGAGGATTGTGTTTGACCTTTTCATTTGAACAAAACTCCACACGAAGCAGATTTTTGTTAAGAGGAAAAAGTAGAACAAGAAGAAGCAAAAACTCTGACATTCACTTTAAAATACAAGGTTGTCTCTCCTGATGGGATTAAGATGACAGCTGTAATCGTGACTAATTATTACAGGTGAAAAATTACACAAGAGCTTGGCACAGGATTAAATTCACTGCAGCTCCTCCACAGAGATAAATCCAGTTGACATGGGGATTTAGATTCATCGAGTAGAGAGACGCATCGAGCAGCAGTTGTTGATTGTTGTGCGGTTCTTGCTGTTAAATGATGTTATCTCGACATTAACATCGACTCCTGTGTGTGTTTTTGTGCCTTCGTCCTCAGCGCCACCACATAGGAGATCGAAGCCTGTCGTTGTGTAACATGTTCCTGGATGAAATGGCCAAACAGGCCAGAAACCTGATCACCGACATCTGCACCGAGCAGTGTACACTCAGCGACCAGGTAGGAGCTCAGGGGCAGGAGTTTAGAGGACGCCTCACAGTCTGATTCTGAGGCCATTGTCACATCTGTACCTTAAATATAAGGCTAAAGAGGTGCGCTTGTTTTTTAGACCCTCGTAAGCAGTCAGAAAACACACCTTTAACTCCACCTTGTTGGACAACATGAGGCTTTACAGCTAATCTGCAGCTGGTAGATCCAGATCTTATCTCAAAGTTCAGGTTCAGGATCAATCGAGGCACCTTTTATCTGATCGGTATCAGCACAGACCTGAGACCGATCCTCTGTTTCTGATTGATGGCAGATGACATTCATCCTGCGCTGACATCATTTTAGGCAACGGACGCATAATCTGGGCGTAAAGCCACCTCAGGAACTCCATCGTAGTCCATCCTGGTTTGTCTTAAACAGTTGAGTTCTGGTTGGAGGTCATGAACCTCCTCAGAGTCTCTGTCATGGTCCTGTTGCTGCTAAACTCCCACAATGCTCTCTGCTGCCAACATGAACTGTAGTCTGAGTGACGCCTCCTCTGGCCTCTACAGGATTAAACAGTGAGAGGCTCCACCTGGTGGAACAACCAGGTACTGCAGCTGGTCTACGATACGTTTACTGACATCGTGTTGAGAATACAGGTTTTCTCCACCTGTTGGAGCCTCAGAACATCCAACCCTCTATCTCTACATTTAGACAGTGTACTTCTAGATCTTTCAACAAGGGTACAGAACACCTACAGAACATTTAAGAACAGAATGGAGGCAGAAATCCATCTGTAAGTTGAGTAACTTTAAGGTACTTTGAGTGTGCTAGTATTGGATGGATTGATCGGATTGGGACTTGAATGACTCGGGTTGGATCAGTGGCAACAGAACCTTGATCGAGACGTCCCTTTCTATTTTCTGACATGCATGTCCTTCGTCTTCTACCCCAGCAGCTGTAGTTTTTTAATCGATTAAGTTATTAGCACCAATTAACCCTTAACGTCTCTGATTCGTACTCAAACCAAAGTGTAGAAACAACAACTCTTGGTCTCTCCAGGGCTTTTATTCTGGACTGTTTGTTGGCTCTGTGCGTTCATCAGATAACCAGCAGAAACTCCAAAAAGCTACTGGTCCCAGATGAGGAATCAGGACGGCATCAGTCTCATCTGTCTGCATCAGATATTCACCCGAAGGCAAAACAGTGCTTCTCCCAAAATGTTCTGTTCTTAAGAGTCTGATTTTTAATATCTCCGGTCTGTGAGAGTTTTGAGTTTATGAACTACTGTTACGTGACGAGTCAAAATAATATTTCAGACCATCCATCTCAAAGAACAGTAAAGACGTCTTCAGTTTTTACTCGGTGCTGTCAGAGACAAAGATCTGAAACTTTCCTCGTATTAAGCGGCTCCTCAGAAACACCTGACCGCACAGTGATGCTATTACACGCTGTCACATTAACGCCGCGAGCCTTCTGTTGACGCCGAAAGCTCCTTAAATTTATCCGTCGGCGTTCCGGTTTGAGAAAAGCCCGCGAGCGATCAGCTTTTCCCATCGGCGTCACTGTTACTCGATCTGTCTTCTTTTGTGCAGCTGCTTCCGAAACACTGCGCCAAAACCATCAGCCAGGCCGTGAACAAGAAGAGCAAGAAGGCGACGGGGAAGAAAGGCGAGCCGGAGAGGGAGAAGCCGGGCGTGGAGAGCATGAGGAAGAACAGACTACTGGTCACCAAGTCAGTACCGCGACACTTCACACCTTTGCTTTCTAGTATTTTGCTGTCTAGAGACAACTGCCAGCTTCAGCTCCAGCCTGCTCTTCGTCTCTCTTTCCGCTTCTATTAATAAGTCATTGATTCTGTCATAATTATTAATAATGAATCGCTGACCTTGTTTTTTATTGTTGGTAAAATTCCCATTAGCGCCATTAAAGCATCCGTCTCTGTAGCAGTGATGATAACAGGAACATTCAGCTGTTTGTTCTCATGTTAACAGCTCAGAATGACGCCGTGGTGCTTTGTACGCATTAAAAACCCCATTATTGTTCTGCTACACGCTGCCGTTCGTCTGCTCGTTTGTTTTTCTCTGCTGTAAAACAAACAACACAGATTATTAACTGTCTTTTTCTTCTTTTCTTTTTTTTTTCCCCTCCTCTTCCAGTCTGGATAAACTCCACACAGCGTTGTCCGAACTCTGCTTCTCCATCAACTACGTTCCCAACCTGGTGGTGTGGGAGCACACGTTCACGCCGAGGGAGTACCTCACCTCGCACCTGGAGATCCGATTCACCAAGTAAACAAACACAGAAAAGACGAATCATGTCCAGTTTAGGGTTTCTCGACAAAAAACACCTACATCTCAGTTAGTTACATACGAGACATGAAGTTTTCCCCGAAGAGGAAAACTCATAAATTCACACGTCATCTCCAGACGGTAATCAGCAAGCAAAGGTCAGAGTCGGTGCTTTTAGCATTTTTTAGAAGTTGATTACTTCATTTTGGATATCAACTCTCAGAAGCAGTTTCTGGGCGTTTTTCTCTTTTAACCTTCTTTCTTCACTTTTTCTTACAATATGAAGTCCTGCACCTCCATGAAAACAGAATAACCAGAAAGCAGGAACTCAGAAATGTGTTCTGTGCAGTATGAACAAGATATAATCCCATAAATGTTTTTTTTGTTCAAGCTGAATTTTATTTAATTACTTATTTTACAAAAAAAAAAAAGTACAACCTTTTTTTCAAGTGCCCACAAGTGTTATCAACTATAAATGACTAAATAGTGGCTTTGCATACTATAGATATTTACCTATTTTATATTTTATTTTACATTTATTTTCCTTCTCTCTGCTCTGACTAAACACTGCCTGCAGTTCAGGCGAAAAAACACCCTGAATTTTTGTCACGATTACTGGTTGCAGCCGAATCACTAATAACTTCACGCTTTCACAGAGAAGCGCAGAATTTAAATTTTTTTAGAGAATCCAGTTCGAGTAAATGCTTTATTTTTGGCAAGTATTGAAACAAGAGACACGTAGAATTCAGAGATTTTAAGTAAACGTAGCTTCGTTTTGGTCAGTTTTCTGGAAACTGATGAAATGGTCACAGAATAGTTTAGGGACTATTATCCAGCAGCCTTACTGTTGATTAATGCTGCTTTAGAGGTGAATGTCTTTGAAACTTGCTGATGGGTGTTGAGGGTTAATTGTTGGAAAAGATGTAAGAACATAATAATTTTCACGACACCAATGTAGAGCCGACTGTGTTACAGGTTTTCATAAGGGCTTGCTATTTCTATTTTCTAAACTTCACCTCCGCCATCGCTCGCTTTAATAACCTCCGACTGTCTTCAGGTCCATAGTGGGGATGACCATGTACAACCAGGCCACCCAGGAAATAGCCAAGCCCAGCGAGCTGCTGACCAGCGTCCGAGCCTACATGACGGTGCTGCAGTCCATAGAGAACTACGTCACCATCGACATCACCCGAGTCTTCAACAACGTGCTGCTGCAGCAGACGCAGCACCTGGACAGCCACGGGGAGCCCACCATCACCAGCCTTTACACCAACTGGTGCGTTGATCAACCGTACAACTTGGTCTTTGTCCAAAGCATCTCCTAGAACGTAAATATTTAAATAACTTCAGTAAGCAGGATTGGATGTGGGGTGAAGTAAGCAGCATTTCATAAAGACGTGCAAGGATTTAACCAACTGAACCTCGAAAAGTTGTTTTTATTCACTGTGGGTTCATTTTTCACAGCAATATAAAGTCCTGCAGCTCTGTGGAGACGTAGTGAAGGAGGGACAACTCGGCAGCGAAAGTTGAATTTCTTTGACGAGTTATTCAACAAAAATTTTAAAAACGTGATCAACATTCACAGCTTTTCTTCCTGAATGCCCACAATGTTACCAACACTGGAACAAATCTAGTAACTCTCCCACCTACAGATATTTTACTGCTTACATTTTAAACCAGTTTCCGTACTCGTCTCTTCTCTCTTCTGTGGAAACACTGGCTGCAGTTCAGCCGAGGAGTTCCTGAATATTCGTCACATGACTTTTGGTTTCAGCTAAGTCACTGAAAAAGCTCTGAATTATTTGTTTTTTTACAGACTATTGTTGCATAAACGGTTCATTGTGGGTGAAATTTTAATTAAAGGTGATTACGATGGAATATTTCGACTTTGAGCTTAGATTTGCTTCATTCTTCAGTCGAAACCAAAAGTCACAAGTTTGAGGTCCGTCTGACAGTTAAATTCACTTCTACCTGTTTCTAAGGCTTCTGGCTGATAAATGGAGTTATTTTGGTGATTCTTCTAAAAAGATAACCTGCTTTCAAACTTGCAGGTAATTTTTACCGTTCAGAGGGTTAAAAAGGGGAGAAAAGCGACGCGTACGTCTGAAACACCGGCAGATCTTCCCAATCTGACAATAATTCATTCAGCTGTTACCGACGGCGGCGCGGTCTATAGGAGATTATTTTAAAAAGAGAAATGAGCAGTTGGCTGGTGAGCAGCCAGCGAGAGGCTCCGACTGATGATGGAAGTGCAGCAGAGATACCGACCGAGCTACTGAAGAAGAAGAAGCGGCACTTGAACCACAAAGGCGAACGCTGCGGCGCTGCAGCTCGCCGTGTGTTGCAGGCAGCTGCCATCCGTCTTTACATCAGCGCAGCTCGAGGGTATGCAAATGAACACAACTGTTCATCAGCATGCAGGTCGGCGAGGACCAACGAACCCAATCATGTGCCGGAGTGACCGACCGACTGGTCCTGCATCGGAGCGCTGACGTGTTCACACATCAGCAGCTGTAGAAACCGCTTTATTAGAACCACTAATGGACCAGATTCTTCTCATTTTTAAGGCTGTGTAGCAGAAAATCACGTTTTAGTGTCACAGCATCGATGACAGGCAGAAACTGCAGGTTTAGTGTTGGATTTCTCAACTACTTTGGATTTTTTAAATGATTTCAAATATCGGATGTTTCTATCTTTTATCCCTAAAAAGTATTTTTAAGTCTGTTAATTAATTAATTTACATAACAATCCTCAAATGACTAGTAAATAGGAAAACGTGATATTTTTAAGATTGATTTGATCATTGTGACTGTGATTGGGGCTGGATCCAATAAATATCTGACTATTCGGTCGTTGTGGTGGTATCCGGATATCAATTTTGCGATTTGAATATTCGCCAGTCTGCAGACATTCGTCATTAATTGGGCCCGAATATCTAGAACCCAGAGGTTGCCACTGGGACCAGACTGTGGAAACACTGACTACGATAATCATACGTCACATTTTAAAAGTGTCTGATCTCTACAAATCTTCAATCTAATTAGAAACTACAGGCTGTGAAGTCTGAGCCCGTCCATCAGATTAATTCAGACTTTTACAAATAAGCTGAAATAGTTGTTTTTTTTCCTACAACTCTAACAAAATACTGCTACTAAAACATTGAATCTCGTGGTTGTTGTGTTTCTTTTCTTTTGATTTCTCTAATATGAGCATCTTTGTGTTACAGCTTTTGTAATGTGAAGATGCCACAACAGAAACTTGTCACAGATGTTTCTAGATGTGTTTAAAAAGTTCTGCTGCAGACTCCGCTGACGTCGTCCTGTGTTTGTGTTGTGCAGGTACTTGGAAACGTTGCTCCGTCAGGTCAGCAACGGACACATCGCCTACTTTCCCGCCATGAAGGCCTTCGTTAACCTGCCCACGGAGAACGAGCTGACTTTCAACGCCGAGGAATACTCAGACATCTCCGGTACAAACTGTTTATCGCACAGACGCTGAGTCACCGTCTCGTGTGAATACTTTGCTGATGAAAAACTCGAGTTTGCAAGTGAAAAGTTTCCCAAAACAAAGCACAGAAGATATTAGTCATGTGCACACGTACACGTCGGTACGGTTCAGAGATCTGCCGCTAAAGTTCCACACGTGTAGTATTTTCTGTAGAAAGCACGTGTAGAAGTGTTAAAGTTGTGTTCTTCCACAGAGATGCGCTCTCTGTCGGAGCTGCTGGGGCCGTACGGGATGAAGTTTCTCAGTGAGAGCCTGATGTGGCACATTTCATCTCAGGTCGCTGAGCTGAAGGTAAAAACACTCACAGACATTTACTCACATACAAAGCAATGACAGGAACTAATGCTTCTTTTTCTTTCTTTAATGTAAATAACTGTTTCTGCAAAGATGACACAATTCATTAGATCCAGAACCAGAAAGAATCATCAGATGGTCAACTTTCCGACAGTCCTTGAACTAATTGTGTGTGAAATGGAGTTCTGTCTGGAAAATGTCCCCTAATTAAGCTTAAAATCACCAGAATGACTCTGCTCTGCACACCTCATTTAGATGCAACTTGCCTTTCAAACGCTTTTGAGTTTGGACCCTCTGATTTGCAAACAAAGAGCAAACAGATTTTCCGAAGTAAAGAAAAGATGAACGTGAACAACAGCATGACAGACATGCTGGTGTTGTTTTACGTCGTTTATCCGACTTTTAGTGTTTATTTAGAGGAAGGAAAGATGTGATGCACAGTTACCTAAACCTAGCAGTGGGTTTGAAGGGGTGTTATCTTGGACAAACGTCACACTTTAGTGGAGCTAGGAAGTGTAAAAACAGAAAGAATCATGGGGTTTCTGATGGTCCTTGAACTGCTCACGTGTGACCTGGAGTCCAAATTGTGATATTTCATCAAAATCACTTCATTCTACGTGTTATTTTTTTAAAAATCACAAAAAATAAACCATCAGGTCAAACCAGATTCTGTGAAAACCTAAAGATTTGTTGCTCCTCAGCGTAACTGAGACGCCTTTAATCATGACAAAAATGTCTGAAGCTGTTTCCTGACCTGCAGGCTGGTTAAACAGACTACATGGTAGCTGCAGAAAGTATGTTTTATGTGTATAATATTACTTTTGTGAGCTTGAACATTCGGTTTGGAGGCTTACACGTTTAGAGTTGTGCCTTCTGTTTTGCACGTTTCAGGTTTACGAAGTTTGCGTTGAATCAAACCAGCGCATGTTTGCTGACGACTCCACGCTTTGTCAGATCTTTGCAAGAGAATCACAGGATCTCAGGGAGGGCAGCACATTCAGCTCGTGACTAATCAACATGTTTTTCTGTTTAATATGTGTGTCACGGCTCCGCTACTCTGCAGGTTGAATACAAAACATTAGAACAGAATAAATACACAAATGAGGACTGAAGAGACTTTTAAACTGTGAATCTGTTTGGAAATAAATGGCCTTAAAAATCTTTAAGAATTAAGGATGATCGTGCAGAATAAAGGGAAGATGTTCTAACTGCTGGTGTGTTTTGTAGAAACTGGTGGTGGAGAACATGGAGGTGCTGACCCAGATGAGGACGAGCTTCGACAAACCGGACCACATGGCCGCGCTCTTCAAGAAACTCACATGTAAACAAAAGACACACAAACGTGCTCACATGCAGCATCTATCCGCACAGATTCTGATGTTTGTTACAGTTTTAATTCGATGCCGAGTATTAGAACAAAAATCTGAATGATGAATAAAGATGAGATCTTATAGTTTCCAGACACGGCAGCGTCTTTATGTTTGCAGAACGAATCTTCTTATGAAGCGCGTTGTGTGTTTGACAGCTGACGTTTAACTCCTCAGCAAAGCCTTTTGTTGACTCTGCTGACGGTCTTCACTCGTCTGTTTGATTTAAGAAACCGTGTTTGGATTTTCTTCTGTTGTTAAAGATTTGCTAACACTTGCTCTAATCGTAATAATACAGAACGAGACACGACGACGTCTTAAAGCAGCCGTGCAAACTGGTGACTGATCAGTATGTAACTGCTGCTGTCGTGGACTGACCGTCTTGTGTGTCTTTGCAGCCGTGGACAGTGTTTTGAAGAGGATGACCATCATCGGCGTCATCCTGTCTTTCCGCTCTCTGGCTCAGGAGGCTCTGAGAGACGTAAGCTGTTGTGATGAACACGTAGTGCCATCAGAAGGTTCAGAGAATGTGTTTAGAAAAAAATCAGATTTAAATCTGGCCACTAAACCTATTTTTACATTACTTGTCTTAACACTTATTGATGATCTATTATTTGTCCTCTGTTTCTTTTATTCATTTTATGTGGACGTGTATGTTTTGGGCTTTTTCAGCAAACCATTTTTAACAATCCTTACAGGATTTATTTTATCAGCAGACTTAGATTGTTTTACTGCTAAAGCGGAGCGACTTGTTAAACAAATAAAGTTCCTGCTGAATCACCTGACCCTGCATAGATCAGTTTAATGGCTCTTTCATGAACCAATTTTGGTCTTTTCAAGGACTATGAAGGGTTTTAAAGATCCCACGGTCCCTGTGAGCCCAGGTGCTGTGTTTTTACCCAAACCTGACTCAAGTTTGATAAATAGAACATGTAATAATAAAGAAATGATAAATGTCTTTCTAAACTACAACATTTTTTAAATGCTTTTTTTTGCTCCTGATCCGATCCGAGTCATTTATTTTGTATGTGCAGACACTGTTTTCCTGGATGATGCACACTGTAAGTGCAGTAGACTAGCTGTAGCCACTTCCGTGTTTGAAAGCAGAGAGCATTGTGGGAGTTTAGCACCATGACAAAGTCTTCTGTGACACTTAATGACGTCTGGCCAGAGAACATGGGATGTAAACAAAGAGTTGACTGTAGCTTTCTGCTGATACTGGACCACGTCTGAAATCACAAATGTGCATCTGTACGTGGCCAGAACTGGATTTTCAGAAAGTGTTGCAGATGTGGAAGGAGCACTGGGAGCAGAGTATTCCTGCACAAAGTCAGGACAAGTTGAACCAGCTGCTTTCTATCGCTGCAGTCTCTGAACCTTTTGACTACACGTTTAATTGTTTTGTAAGATTTCCTCCGATGCTCCGTCACTCTCTCAGCAAACTGTTTCTGTCTCTCCAGGTGTTGTCCTGTCATATTCCCTTCCTGGTCAGTTCAGTGGAGGACTTCAAGGATCACATCCCCCGAGAGACGGACATGAAGGTAAAACTCGGTCGCAGACACAAAGATTAACGTCCAGACTCTCCTTGTGTTCACACGTGGACGTCTCGTCTGTCTCCAGGTGGCCATGAATGTTTACGAGCTGTCGTCGGCAGCGGGGTTGCCCTGCGAGATCGACCCGGCGCTGGTGGTCGCTCTGTCCTCTCAGAAGAGCGGTGAGTCAGGAAACGCCACCGCACACAAACACACAGACCCAGCGTGGCGGCCGCACAAAGCCTCAGTGTCGGTTTGTGTCCGTGCAGAGAACATCAGCCCAGAGGAGGAGTACAAGATCGCCTGCCTGCTGATGGTGTTTGTGGCCGTTTCCTTGCCGACGCTCGCCAGCAACGTGATGTCGCAGTACAGCCCCGCCATCGAAGGTAGGCGCCGCGCGGCCGCGTTGTTTGTGGCGTCGACAGATTGTGTTTCGGATCAATTTCGGCGACTTTCAGCCGGATTTCATGTTTGACGCATGACGTGGTTGAAGTGTAAATGAGGAGGAAACACAAAACGCCCACTTGTGACTGTTCGCTGCGAATCGGCGCCTCAGAACATCAACTGTGATTATTTTCGTCCTCAGTTAATCTGTGTTTATGTCTTTATCTAACTGATTAAGAGTTTGTTTGTAGAACATGTGAAATTTCCCAGAATCCACATTAACATCTCCTCCAGGTGTCTTATCTGTCCGACCTTCTGTCCAAAACTGACTCATGTTCTGTTTGCTGTAACATGAGCCTTAACAGGAGCAGCCGATTCTCCCATTTGGCATTTTTGCTTCGTGTTTTATTTACTCCTGTGTCATTTTTCCTCACTGGGGCCTCATTTTTCACTGCAACATAAAGTTCTGCAGCTCTGTGGAACCAGAAAGAACTCAGAAATGTCTTCTGTGCAAAATAACACAGTTAGAATGACAGAAATCATTAAAATAATAAATAATGTAAGTTTAATATTTATTTTACAAAAAAATAAGAAACCCCAAATCATCACGTACAATATTTTTGTGTCCACAGTTTTTTTACAAATATTGGAAATAATGTTGTGATTCAACAAACTATAATGTTATCTGTGTTGTTTCTACACCTTTCTTCTCTGCAGCCTGCAGGTCAGAGAAGAATAAAAATGTAGAATAAAGTGACTTTGATTAAACATCCTGACTATTAGCTTAGACTTGGTCAAGTTTTCTGACATCACAGATGAATGATTGGGCTTCACAGGATTAATCAGCTGTTAAAATTATAAAATATAATCAATAAATTGTTGCAGATCTCGTCACTACAAAAGAAAAATGACGATACGTGATGTGCTGCAGTGTGTTTGTGCTTCAGATGGTAGAATACGTGGTCCTTCATAGCAGTAATAGTGTTTCTAATAAATAAAGACAATAATAAACCTGCATGGAGGCACCGAGCCGGCTGAGAGGCTCAAACACTTCACATCCTATGAAACATAATTCACTGCTGGGATGAAACTGATCTGCATGTAAATGACTTCGACCTTTTGCCCTCCGATTAATTCATTTATGTGCACAAGAGCCGCACCGCCATCTTCATTAGTGTGTTTTTTTTGACGTTGTCGGGGATTTCTGAAGGTTTGTTCACCCGCTGTATCCTGCTTAACCTTATTTGTTTCATGCATTTCACTGAAAAGACTCATTCAGTCAAATGAACCTGATTTTTTCCGACAACAGAGACACACCGTCGGAGTCAAAAGAGGCTTTTGATAAGGTATCAAAGAGATTCGTCACTCAGGGATGGATTATCAAGACGTTGACTTCTAACAACCTTGAAATGAAAGGCGCCACTGTTAATAAGGGACATTTGAAAAGGATAATGAGTTGTAATGGCTTCACCATTGTTAGTATGCAGAGCGCATATTAGGCAGCAATTGGTTTTTCCGTCCTGATACACGGCAGCAGTGCAGGTCTGCTTACCGCCGACGAGCTCGCAGCTACATGCACACGCTTTATATCCTGCTGCAGCTCGCACACGACCCGCGATCTGCATGAGACGGAAGTCAGATCCACGTTTCCAGCTGCACTGGTGGATGCAGGTTTTCTATTCTGGAGTTCCTCTGCTGTGAAAGTCACGTGTCAGAAATTAAACCGGAGTTAATTGATTTTCAAACGCCAGCCATGACTCGTGTTTCCCGAGCTGACGATGTGTGTTTGCTGCCCCCTGCAGGCCACTGTAACAACATCCACTGCCTGGCCAAAGCCATCAACCAGATCGCTGCTGCTCTCTTCACCATCCACAAGGGAAGCATAGAGGACCGTCTGAAGGAGTTCCTGGCTGTGAGTCCAACACAAAGCATTCTATACAGCTTTTATATTGTCGTTTATTTAGAATCCCATATTGCAAACCTACAAATAAATAGATTATAAAATCAAGTGAACCAAAGGCAGTATAACAATTAAACAAATACAGTCTAAAATAATGAATGCTCATGCTTGGGATAAAGAGAATCAATTTTCCGCTGCTCTCCGCTGTCGTCTTTAAAGAGGACGTTTAAAAGAGGTCGCTGATCTGCTGACCTGATTTCCCTCCTTCCGTTGCTTCAGGGCTCCGACTGTCAGCGATCTGTCAGCTCCGGTTTTCAGCCGAGACTCTACAAAGTCTCCGAGGATCTCAGGCTACGTACAAGCTAACGTGTAGCTAAAGAGGTCAGATGTACGGCGTGGAGAAAACAAGATCTTAGAATCCGCTCTGAAACATGCTGGGAGTTGTGCTCACCGCTCTTGGTTCGAGTTAAAACGCTGTCGGTTCTGATCGTCTGGAGCCAGTTAACAGGTTTATGTTTCATGGCTGCTGTCTGACCATCACAGAACAGGAAAAACCCATCGTAGGTGGAACCAGCAATGAAACGCTGAAATACATCAGCGCTCCTGCTGCACCATTAATTATGCAAACAAGTTTTATAAAACCGTTTGAGTGAGCAACGTCCTGAGTCATCCAACATTTAATATCTGTCCTTATCAGACACCGTTTTCCTGAATAATACACACTTGAAATACCTTAAAGTTATTAAAATTAAGAATTTCTGCCTCCAATCTGTTCCTTAATGTTCTGTAGGTTTTCTGTAACCTTGTCGA